TATTTGCCTCCCTGCCTGGGCAAATGGTCACAGACGAGTATGGCTATTATCCTGAGTCTCTTCCCAGACACCTAATCAAAACGGAAGGGTCACTGAAAGGCCACTTCCCCAATTTGCCTAATCTTCTAGCTCTGGCAGCCTTGGAAGATGATGTAATGGAGAAGTGTGGCAGTTGTGGCTGGGAGAGATGCAAAAGGATACTGGCAAGGTCAAACGGCTAGTATGGGAAGGACCAATTCAAGATAGAAGAGTGAAAGCAGGGATTGGGTAAGAGGGAGAGCAGAAGTAAAGACAAATGCTTAAAGGGAAACTGACATGACATTGGAAAGTATATCTTCAAATAAGTCTACAGGGGGACTGTGAAGTTAAGCTGCCTAGGTATCCAATATGCCGTGTGGTTCCTTTCCTTATAACTCATAGGCCTTGGACAAGTTACTTAGCTTTAAGTCTCAGTTTCCTCACACCTGAAATGGGGATAATAATGTAACTACTTCATAAGAGTACAAGGAGAATCAGATTAGATAACAGAGGTAAAGCATTTAGAACAATGCCTGACACAGAGGATTCAATGAAAGGTTTATCATGGTTACTATCCTTATGTACTTGTGATAAAAATACCATTTTATGCTACATGATTTCCAAAATTACGTGAAGAGGATTAAATACTGTTGACTATTTAATGGGTCATTTTTATTTCTTATTATAGGACTTAAAAGCTAAAAATACTATTCATATCCTATTAATCAAAATAAATTTGCTAGGGCAATACCACCCTATAGTTTACTTTCTCTCCTTTTCCATTTGTACATTTTAGGCTTCTGTAAACACCTGCTACTTTTCACTTTTCTAGTTCATATTGGTTGAGGAGTATTAGGAGACAATTGTGTTCTTTTTGACTATAATATGTTAATCTTATTAAAAATTATAGCAAAAAAAAAAGTAGGCATTTGGCCTAATGGCTAAGATGCCAGTTAATACATCTGTGTCCCATATGGAAGCGCCTGACCTGCAAACCCATCTCTGGCTCCTGACTCCAGCTTCCTGCTAGGGAAGATCCTGGGAGCCAGCATTGTTGGCTCAGATTGGGTTCCTTCCACTCACAACAGCGAACTGGATTGAGTTCCTGTCTCCTGGCTTCTGCCCCATACCTGCACCAGATGCAGATATTTGGGGAGTGAACCAGTGGATGAGAGCTCTCTGTCTCTCTCTCTCTCTTTGTCTTTCTGCCTCTCACAAAAATTATAACAAAGAATAAAAACATTTAATAACCTTTTGAGAGAGTCATTAAATTATAAAAACACTATCATGTAATAGTAAAGGGTACCAGATTTGGCAGGGATTATTAATATTTACAGATTAACTCTAAATTTCTTTTATTTTCACACTATAATGTTTCAATTACAGGCCCATTACTTTCCAAATGTAATTAGTTATTAACTTAATGACTGATCTAAATTTCCATTATTCTTCCTTTTATTCTCCTACTCTCTCTGTGCATGCTAATGGGTCATGAAATGCCTAAAATATGTAAAGGAAAGAGAAAAGTAGAAGAAAAAAGTACCAGAAGTGAATGAGCAAATAGACCTGGAATAACTGGGAGTAGGCTATAGTATTAAATACAATTTTCCATGGATAGTAAGTAGATTTTAGAAATACTTAAAACCTGGAGAGGCACTATAAATAAAAATGTATAACTAAAGTCTAAATTTATTTGATAGCTATTTCAATTTTTTTCTTCCTCTGTGAAAAAGAACTTCCATTTTCTCAAGACTCCCAAATTGAGTTAAATCAGAGGTAAGGATTCTGGGCTATTGGGTTAAATGAGTCAGGAGCCACCATCTCCTGCAGGTGGGTAGCAAAAAATCTGCTATAACAGAATGGCAATCAGTTCTCTCGTCACTCGGGGAACTCAGAATCAATTGAAATGTGCACCAACCAAGGGAAAAGCAATTCCCTTCTAACCAAACAGAATTGCACTTGTATGAAATGTTAGAGAAAATGGATGACAGGGAGACCTTTGCAATTTGTGATTTGGAGGAGAATAGGACTTCTGTCTTTATCTATGTGACTTTTGAGAACTATTTGCAGATACTGAAAATACTGTGATGGACAGTACTGACTCTAAGTGAGTTTGAAAAACTCTTTGCCTCTGGCCAAACAGTACAACCAGCACACATTTTCCACATTCAGAATCCAGATTCTATAAATTTTATATTTAAATGTACTCAGTTGACTGTAAGAATCTCATAGCATGGAGCTGAAGACTTTTGGAAACCCATATTGGAAGAATATGGACCACTGTAATGTGTAATGTATGCATTTCTAGTACAGCATGAACCCAGAGCTAAGGTTGACGATACGGACACACCTCAGATTGCCAGGGATACTGCAGCATGGGTGAGCAGGAGCTCTGTCACTGGCTGGATTGTGTCCCTCCAGAATTCCCAAGTCCTAGCTCTTGGTACTGTGAATGTGACTGCATTTGGAGATGGTGTCTTTAGAGAGATTATTAAGTCAGAATGCAGTTTTCAGGGTGATGCCATCATTAGAGGAAGAGGAAATGTGGGGCTTACATCGTGGTGCGGAGAGTTAAGCCGCTGCCTGTGACACCTGCATCCTATATGAACAGTGATTCGAGTTCAGCTGCTCCACTTCTGATCCAGTGCCCTGCTAATGTGCCTGGGAAAGCAGCAGAAAATAGCTCAAGTGCTTTGGCTCCTGGCAGCCACATGGAAGACCTGGATGAAACTCTCAACTCTTAGCTTTGGTTTGGCCCAACCCGGGGCCACTGCAGCCATTTGGAGAGTGAACCAGCAGATGGAAGATTTCTCTCTCTCTCTTTGTAATTCTGCCATTCAAATAAATAAATAAATCTTTGAAAAAAAAAAAACCAACAAGAAGAAATTTGGACACAGGTGTGTAAGGTGGAAAGCTTCTGTGAAGGCATAGGGAGGAGAAGGCAGTCTCTACAAGCCAAGAAAGATAACCCTGAAACCAACCCTGCTGACACCTTGATCTTGGACTTCTAGCCTCAGGATGCTAAGAAAATAAAGCTCTGTTGTTTAAGCCTGTGGTAAAGTCTCTGGCACTTTGTTATGGCAGCACACGCAACTAATATAAGTTCTGTTTACAGCAGAATCTGTTAAGCCTCACTAGACAGTCTAGGTTTGTGTGCAATGAAGGCTGGCTCCCTTCAGGAGACCAGGTGCTCCTTTTGGTGAGCACCAGTTAGTTCAGGGGCTCTTGGGGTGGGGTGGGGGGCAGAAAGAAGGCAGCATGTGAAAGGAAGGCTAATTTTAAATAGAAAAAAATCCCCTTCTGATTCCTGATTACAAAAGCTATACATGCTCATTGCAAAGATATTAGAAAATACTCATACGGATGGAGTAAATGAAGAAACAAAATATGTTTGTGTTCTCACCACTTGGAAGTAACTGTGCATACAGTGTTGTAAATCTTTCTCAACCCTCTCCTAGACACACATGAGCATATACACAACACATAGAAATGTAAAATAAAGATGGAATTTTTTGTATCTTCCCATGTCAGTAATTTTCAATTTATTTATAGTATTATTTGTACTGTCTGATATTGTTTCATGACATCAATGATATTATAGAAATGGAATTGATGAGTGGGATGTGTCTAGGCTTAGGCATATGTAAAGGCTTTTGTATTTATTTTGCCAAATTGCCTTCCAGAAGGGACATACCCATTTACAAGTATATTCAGTGAATCTACTTCAAGTGCAAAATAAAGTCCTGTCACCTGTTACTCTAGACCCAGTGCTTAAGCTCTTTCAGCTGAATTCCCTAGGGAGGAGAGTACAGAAACTAGAGGACCCCAAAAGTGTGCCACCGGGGACTCAGGACACTGCAAGTGATTTGATGGCAAAGCAAATAGGGTTGGGGATGTAGGCGTTGGCTACCTCAGCAGAGAGACAGTTGTGGGGAAGCATGGCAGAGCCTGTCCTACAGCTGAGATGGGAGAGAACAAATCCATGGGACTGGACTTGTGGAGAATGAAGTATGAAGAGGGAACTTGCGTTGCTCTCTTGAGAGTGGAAGAGCTATGTCTGAGAATCTCCGAGGAAGCTGGGAGGCACTCGGTGCTGAGGTCCCAGGCACTTCACTGCACAGGGTCTGAGATCACTGTAATTATGACCCTGGGTTGCTAATTTTCTCCCTTGAGTTTTCAGAGCCTGGGAAAATACAGGTTATCCTAGGGAACGAGAACAAAGTACTGATAGCCTTTGCAGTTTTCATGCATTAATGGAAGATGCTATTTGATTTTGGTTCTTTGCCCAGTATAAGAGATCCCAGCGGGGCACAGTTAAAAGGAAAGGCAAGCTAATCTTAAATGAAAAATAAAATGCTTTATTTTATAAACATGAAAACTATGTGGCACTCAATAAAATGTGTTGGCAAGTAGACTTCTGCTATATAATCATATCAATAAAATAGGTTAATTCCTCTGGGGAGAAGAACTTGAATTTCACTTATCATTGGAAGCCTCCAAAGGAAGAATCAGCAGCAATCTCTTTAAAGAAGACAAGCAGTAGCGTGAGTCAACGGTGGATAGCGTATGTGGGAAAGGGAAAGAGCACCTTCCCCACTAACCATAACGCTCTCTCGGCCTTCCTATCACGTCTGATGTTACAGAGCACCTGGCTGTCCTTGTACAACACACACACGTCAATAGTCACATTGATTTTGATGTGGACCTTGTCTGAGAAATAAATATGCTGCAGGTATCTGTGAGAAAATAACTACATTCGTTTGTCTTCTTTGAAATGTAGATTGGACGCTAAAGTTGCTTCCAAAAGTAAACTTAGGCTCTGTGCCTTCCCTTAGGGCCATGGATAAATTCCCAAGAAAACAGTCATTTCTCTGGGGTAGCTTCCTTCAATCTTCAGATAGTAGCACAGATAATGAATTATTCATGATCTCACTCACTACAGCCTATTTGGTTCAGAATGCTTATGGAAAAACGGGGCTTACCGTCTATCACTGGTTTTGGCTGAGAACTTTTGAGGCGCAGCGAGGGCCGGAAGCGGGTCCGGTCATTGAAGCTCCAGCTCTTCTGCACTTTGGTGGGGCTGCCTTCAGCTGTGATGTCGGTGCTCGGGGACCTCCTGTCACCCACCGAAGCTTGTCTGCTCTTAATACTCTGGCCCCTTGGGCTAGCCATGCGGACTCGCTCCTTAAAACTTAGCTTCTGACTGTGGAGAACAGAGGCATGGTTAATCCATTTCAAGCAATTTCGTCCATTCCACTTGGGTACATAATTCGATGAAACTGTGTATGGCCATATATTTCAATAGACAAAATGTTTTCAGCAAGTAGGAGCATAGCAATGTAATTTGCCCTTATTGAAAATTTGAGCTTTAATCTCTGTTTGCATTCATTTGAGATCTATATACACACCCTTCTTGGTTTTATCACAGAAACTACTGAGATCAAGTATAGCAGTTTGTGCACAATTACATAGGAGATACAAAGAACTGGTTTGGAATTCATGTTAAAAATTGTTGGGTGATTTTTAGCTTTAACCTCAAATTTTGAGATTTTAAAAAAAATTATTTTTATTTGGGAGTATATCTCTTTGTAATCTAAACATTTCTACAGGAAAATAGGGAAGACAGTTACATTTATACCTAATTCAACATGCACTTTGTATTTCAGGCAAGATTATGATTTCAACAAATTCATGCAATCTCATAGCAGTTGCTAGCACTGCATACATAATATTAGACATACAACACATAACATTACATTTCTTTTATGCTTACATTCATTTTTGTGAGACAAAATCACACAAGGTAGAATAGCCCCAACATACAATGAATGTGGTGACTGGTTAACAGAATGAAATGTTAATGTTCACTATACCATTTCCTGCTATCAAACAGGTTATTGATTTGCTGTGGCAGCTACTGGTAAATTATATTTGTTCAGACAGTCAGTTCTTTGAGGTTTGCTGGGATTGAGCTGTTGTGGGCTGATAAAGGAAGCATGAGCAACCACCACAAAACTCCAGTGCACCTTACACTTTCCTGATCAGGAGGTGTAGTGTTGATGAACTGGGAAAGGGCAGGTTGGAATAAGAGAGGCATGGGTTTTAGGCTCCTCGTCTCTAACATGGAGACAGAAATAGCCATGTAGCTAAGGAAGTTTGGCAGGACTCAAATGAACTTTAAGAAGCCTTGTGTGCTCATTCTATTTGTTTTTTTTTTTTTTCTTTCATTTATGGAGCCCTTATGCTATTCAGTAGAAGGTGACACTGTTATCCATGTGAGAGGGTAGGGCGCTGCAGGGCCTGAGGAAATGATGGGGCAAGGGGTTCGAGTGGAGTCGCTTGAACAGCTACTCTGGGTCATGCGGAAGCCTTTGTGGGGTGCAGTCACTGTACTCATGGATAAGGATTATCTGAGATGAAGTGGAGGCTTTGCCTTTTCCACTTACCGCAGTGTCCACTGTCCCCAACTGCAGCATGCCAACAGCAAATGTGTTTAGTGGATATGTGTTTTGTAGCTAACAAGAGACAGTAACATTTATTTTTCCATGCCTAGTTGCTTAAACAAATGATATTCTAAAAAGGCACCACTTTTTTTGTGTTTACATGAAAAAAGAAATCAACACGAACTATGGTAGTCAGCGTACTGGTAACAATAAATGAGTGGGCCATGCAGCTGACAGCTCCCCTGTGGAATGCAGTCACAGCTAAGTACAGCATGATGAGCTGAAGGCACATGCAAACACCAGGCTGGGCAGTTTTGTGACGAGGTCAGGTGGGTGCAAGGGTTCTTTACAACAGTTCCATCAGTTGACGGATTTATCTCTGCTTGACAAATGCGCTATTAAATGATAGATTATTTTAAACAAGAGCAATAAAAACATCATAAAACAGCATCTTTTTATTCTCAAGCTAGGTTCCCCATGTCATCAAAAAGCCTTCAATTATTTTTTAAAAAAACCCATCAAAGGGATAAGTGCTTAAAATAGCTACTTTTCCTAAGTTTTTTTTTTTTAATTGTAAAAGCTTCAAATCGCATTTGGTTTCAATACATCTGTTCTATAATTTGAATTTATGATGATCTGTTTCAGGAAATATATGTTCACATCTGTATCTTTATTTAGTTTGGTGAATGACTCAAGTTGACATAGCTCTCATTGCAAGCACCCTCACTATCCTTGATCTTATCTATAACCTTTTCTAGAAGATGCTAATTAGCACAGGAGGTTGGGTTTATTAATGATCAAATTATTTTCAAAAGTTTCCAAGATACATCTTTCCTATGCCAACTAAATGAATAAGATACTAATAAAAACATCATAAAACCATTTAACAGGAACTTTAGTTTTTCATTTTAAAATTTTTCTGTAAAAATACTGAAAAATGAAAATATTAGCATCACATTCACCATGTTTTATTTACAATAACAGAATGTTTAAAAATTGTTTCTATGGTAATATTTTAAAAATTGCTCCTAAGAAACATTTGATAGTACCTCTACAAATTAATGGAAAATAGGAATAATATTCTCCAAGTCTCAATACCACTTAAAGCACTTAAAACTTGATATAAATGAATTCTAAGCACCATTTCTCTTTTGACCTTCTAGAGTATGTGAATATTTGCTAATGTCTAATATTTTAAAAATTATCAAGAATCATTTAAAAACAAACTTAACATATTGCACACTAAATTCAATTAAAATGCTATGTTTTCACTTTAAATTTTGACCCAATTCTACGAAAGTTAAGATTATGGAATATGATCCCAATTCAGAACTTCTTAAATCAAAATTTTTCTTTTCCAAAGCAAAGATATGTTCTTCTGTCCTCTTAAAAAAGAAAAAAATTTTTTCTTTAGTTTTTCCAGTTTTTCTACTTCCATTCCCTTTTAGATCCATCTGACTGGATAACTATTAAACAGATTAGGTGGCTGTTACTGAAAATACATTGATACATACTCTTCAATGTTGTATTAAATTCTTCATTATTTCCTTGCTTTTTTTTTGGTGACATCTAGAAACATGACTTTTGAGGAAGATTTATGTAACACTGTTTTTATGACGAATGCCGAGAATTATGCCCAGGAAATCAAACAAGGAGGTGTCTCTTCAGAGAAGGTAACTAAGGTTACTGTGTCCACTGATTGGAGCATTTTTCTTAGCAGGCAGGCCCATGCTCCCAGCAGAGGGCTGTGCTCAGGGGAGCCTGCACTACCTCTGGGCAAGGGAATTCTTCCCTCTCTAGAAGCGGATGTACAGATTAGTCTAATAGCCTAGCATGCGGTCTACTACTGGATGCTCCATGCCGGGCAACTGCGAGGCATCATAACCCCACAATAATCCTCCAGGACTTAGAGTGCTGTAGCTATTGTTATACTTAATTAGGGTTTTAGCCCTTCCTAGAACAAGCGTTCTACAAATTCTCGCCTCAGGCATAATATGGCAACCAAGCCATAACAATCCAGTGCGTGCAGCAGCTCAGCAGTTGTCCAACCACGAGGAGGCGCCAAGGGGCTGACTGGCAGTACTATACGGGACCTCTCCTATTTGTCCAGGTGGAGGAGAGTATCAAAGCAGGCAACAGGCAATAAGGTAAATGACAAGCGGGTTGAAAACCTCATTCAAAAGTCCCTAGGAAGAGTGAGTCTCTGAACAGGGCTCAGGTGGGGTGGCGGTGTACCCTGGTCATGCACCTGAGGTTAGTTGGCATTCTCAAATCTCATGTCAATAGCCGGGATGCTGGGTACCTCTGCTTCCTTGAGGTGTACATTCTGAAGAGCTTCTGCTTATTACTACAGAACTTACTAGGAGTGAGGGAAATAGAGCAGCACATTACTAAGCATTTCACCACCAGGAAAGTGCTTAGCGATTTTGTTCTCTCTTTAAAAAAAAAAAAAAAAGCCATTTGGCTTTATTGCTTTTCATACCTAAGTATGCAGATTATTTAAGCAGTGAGTACTGACTATGTAGTTTAATTGTGCTGCTTGAAATATATCCAGTGCTCCTAATGGTTAGATTTAAGTAATTAGGTTTGAAATAAGCATTACAAATGATAATAGTTATGTGTTAGCATCTGTTTCATATGAAAATAAGAATATAAATATATTAGGATATACCAACTCCTGTAAAAAATATCAACAAAACATAGTGTAAATGATTGAGGAACAAAATATTCCAGAACTTTTAAGAATATTTATAGAAATCAATGAAGTAGACACAAATTGCTTTGAAATTCAAAAAACCTAAGTTTTTGATTTATTTGAAACATCTACAGTTATGGTTCATATAGGTAACCCGCTGTCAGAATACATGTTCAAAAAAATAAAAAACAGAATAATAAAAGACTCTAGGTTGCTAGTTTGTGCAAAGAATTTTTAAATTACCTTTGTTATTTAATTTTATGTGTATTTTTAAGACTGAAATCCTCTCTGTCAATAAAGGTGAACAAAAGGAGACACTGTTTTGAGAAGATTGTTTTTGAAACAAATGAACATTCTGCCCATAGACACAAGTTGAATATTTTGCAAAAGAAATAAATTCTAGTCTCACATAGTTTAACAACACATGCAATCATTTATTGCACACAGAAGAAAGAACAGGAAAATAATGGAAAATAATGCAGAAGAAATAGAAGCACACAATCTTTTCCATCAATATTCTAGTTTTCTCTCCCATGAGCCACACACTGCCACAGAACCCAATGAAGCACACACATAGGCATGGTTCAGACAAAGCACTCAGTGGATCACAGCACTAGATTCTAACATAATGAAGAACAGCATCTGTGCCTAAACTTTAAAGACATGCATCTCTGTAACAGTCTCACAGGTACCTGTTAAATTAACGTTAGATGGTTTGCTGTCTAAACAATGTGTGCAAGTACTGTAGGAGTGCTTCATAAACTCCAAGTAAGCCGCTTACCAATGAAGCAGGTGTGTGAGTATGGCAACGACTGCTGATTAGGAAGACAGGGTAAGCACAGGCAGTGAGATTTATGGATAACCCCCAAACCTTAGATGGTATGATTTGTTCTTGTAACCACAGAAACATAGATCGGAAGAGGTAAAAGCTTTCTTGTATCAATGTGATGACTCACTGACAACTATTTGATGACCTGGTCAAGGAGGAAGGAAGAAGGAAGGATCACAAATGACCTCAAGGCTTGAATATTTTGCTCATCGGGACAATGGGTTCACAGGTCAATTTCATTCTCTGAAAATGACAATTTATAGCAAACCAGAGAAAAAATGTTCAATTCTAAAGATGAGCTGGAAAAATTATTTAATCTGATGATTAATAAAATAAAATAAACACATTTACCCCCATAATATGAGATCAGGACTGTTTTAATGGGAAGACAGAGGAAAAGAATGAGTAATTAAGTGATGCTAAAGAAGTTGTATTTATGGTCTAAGGAGAGGGAGAACAGAGTGGGCTCAATCGAGAATAATTGTACTTTATACCTGGCCCTGTACCTAAGAGAGCCAATGAAACATTATTTTCACCATTGCTTAGTGCAGCTAAAAAAGTTCTTTCAGAGACTGACGGTTTGTACTTTTAAAGAAAACCTTTCAATCTGTCACAAACAATATGACAGTGTTTCCTAGCCCAAGATATCATAGATGAATTTTGTTTAAACATACTCCAACCTCAGTATAGAAAGACAGAACATTCCAAAGCAGGGAACATAGTTAACGAATGGTTGACCTCACTCTGTTCTGCAGGCAGAAAGGCCTCTCTGTGTATGGCCCAGTCTACAGTCGTGGCTCTCGTCCTCAGGGTGAGTGTCAGGCATTTGAGAAGGGTGTTGGCTGCCACATGGGGTTCATCTACACTTGGATTACCTCCAGATTTTGGTACAAAGAAAAACCACGAGAAAGGACTTAGGATACTCCAGACTCTGATGTATCTGCAGGATAAAAATGTTGGCTTCCACTTGGGGTGAGGCTTGTTTATTCTGCTTATCTGAGTCACCATCAATAACCCAATGGTCCCGAAGGCAGTAAACGATTCTACGACTCTGCGGTTGGGCGTTGTTGTTAATTAGTTTATTAGAAATGGGGTCAAGCATTAATTAACAATATCCAGACCCAGATATGTTCTTCTCCAAGGAAGAACTCTCATTATAAATGCATTTTGCTTTGTGCATATTTTGCTTGGGTAAGGGCAAATGTGTTATTTTGTAAGATGGTACTGTTGCTATTGTTATTACAATAGTCTTGCTGCATTCATTATGCAGTATTATAAATTCCATTGCCTGTGGAGCACAAGAAGATGAAAGCTAAGGTAATATTAAAATGAGGACTTCAAAATGTATAATTTTTATGTGTCCATTAAAACACTTTTAAATTAGAGCTTCAGTGTATTTCCTTCAGATTATTGCAATGTTTTAAATTTAAAAATTTTCTTTTTTGTACATTTCCTCTTTTCTCATTACTGTTGGTATTTTTCTTTTCATATAAACTACTTGAGGTCAGGGACATTTTATTGCTCTCTTCAATAACTGCTGAACACATTCTCTGCCATAACTTTACATAGGGTGATGTGATAGGTTATTGGGGGACAGGATACCTAATTGTATGAAGCATGAGGCATTAAGCAAGATATCAAGGATAAGCAGTAGCACTTGTTACAGGTGTTTTTCCTAAATGTGCAATGACCACAGAGAAGCAAGAAATTTCTGTGTCTGATTCTCTAAGTCATTAACCCAGTTCAGTGGTTCTGTGCATTCAAGCCTATGCGTTATTTTTGACAACTTAGCTCACAACATGAGGAATAGATTTAAATGTGTTATATACAAGTGAACATCAATAAATTTAGAAAATTTGATTGGTGGTCTTTGGGAATTGTGAAGGCTTACTAGGTGGCTTATTTTTTGCACTTGTGGACAGCAGCCTAATAGTGACACTTGATTCTGTCTTTGTTTTCTGCTATAGTAACATACGGAGAATGTACAGTCTGACGGTGTTATTCTGAGGTGATCATTCCCTTAGGACTGCTATGAAGATCATGCTTATTCAAGCACCTGTACATACATGATTTAGAAACTTTTTCTTCAGGTGTCAACAGCTCCATTTGGAAGGATGAAACCAAGTCAGCTAAGTTACTCTCAGATAGCTGTGAAATTCATGCCCAAGACAGTCTCTGTCCTTCCAATTTAGAGACAAATTACCCTTTAACATAAGTCGTAAATGGATAGCTCCTGAGACAAGAAAGCCTTTAACAATATCACAAAGACACTAGAACACAGCTTATAATGGCTATGATTTATTTTGTGCAGCTTTTTTCAAGGAAAGTTGTCACAACAGAAGAATGGTGAGATCGGATGGAATGTGAAAAAAGGACTGTAGGGTTAGAATGCGCCAGTTTGTCTCTTCTGGTGTGTATGCAAAGAATGTCCTGAGACTAATGACTAGAATCTCTCTTTGGCCAGGAATCTTTCCACAGTGGAGAAAAGCAACTCTTTAGGCAGGTACAATTTTTTTTGAGATGTCACCCAGAATATCTAGGGTCTTTTTGCTCTAACTCTAAAACCAGCAAATAAGAGAGGATCTTTAATGCTGCCCCTGTGGGGGCTTATCTACCCAGAAGGAATGCTTGATGTTGTATATTCTACCCTATCTGCCTCCCAACAAAGATCAATACACTCATGTTTTGGTTTGGGAATCTTTTTAACCATTAATGTAATGCAGAAATCAGTATCTCAGAGTCTCATCACTCTAAGTGAATCCTGAAAACTAACTTCATCACTACATAAATACATTCTGATGAGTGTCATTATTATAATGGTACATAGCTAGAGGAATAATCCTTCACTTCACACTGGCTCCATGTTGGGGTCCACTCTGGGCAGCTGGTTGCCTTAGTTTCCTCTACTGAAACAAGGGGCAATGATGGGGAAAACAAACTGTGTCCCTTCTTTCCTTCCAGGCACCTAGTATTCTCTTGCTAGTTCTGCCTCTGCTATTAGCTTGCACCATTGGTGCCAGCATCCACTTGGCTCTCTCCTTCAGAGCTTTCTTCACAAATCCAGACCCATCCTGGCAACTCATTAACGTAGATAAAAACTTTCTTCTACTTTCTGTTCTCTATAGGTTTAACTATCTGCTATTGGTCTGATAGAGCATATAAACAAAGCCACGAAAGAGTGGCCATGAGTAATTTGGAGATTTGGGAGGGATATCTTCTTCCTAAATGATGAAGGGGGGTCCTGTTCTTTTGAATCAGATCACTTGAGTCAACCCCAGAAATCATGGGTCAGAGATAGCCCAGAGATATGGTTCTCACTTTTAGTACACAGTATTACTCTTGGAAAAAAACAAAAAACAAAAAACAAAAAAACCAAAAAATTCTTAGCCACAAAGGACTCTAATGAAGGGAAGTGTATGCTGGACTACTGTCTGGGCACATAAAATTCAGAAAAATTCTTTTCTTTGACTCTTTAACTTACTGTTCTTGAAACATTTGGATAAGATGTCTGGTTAGGAAAATTGCAGCAAAGAATAATGAAAGATCATAATTATTTTTGTGCCCGGAATGTTCTATGTTCTGCAGCTTGTTAAAAGCAGTAAGTTAGGGAAAGATGCTTCTGTTCCCAAGGGAGGGAGGCTAAAATCAATAGAAGCAGCAACCTTTGCCAGCAAGCCTGGGAAAGGCCACTTCTAATCATCTTGTATTTGTGGATCGATCTTACTCACATGAGACACATTTAAAACATCTGTTAGGCATCAGATTTACAAACAAACATGTAGCAAAAGAGAAATCACAAACCTGCTTGTTGTTTCCCCTTGTTCTTTCCTTCAGGTGTATGCAGACAGAAGAAAAATGATGATAGACCAGTGAATACATTTACAGCACTTGATAACGGCCAAATTGAAGATTGAGGAATCAAGTACCTTAAGTATCCCTTCTCATGCATGATCCGCAAAAGCAATATTATTGATAATAAATGTATTCAACATCCTAATATATGTTCTTTGTATACAGATCTGAGATAGCACAACACTTATTTGGCAAAGCCCACATTGCCTGTATATTTCCAAAAACCACAGATATGTGATCAGGTAAACTTATCCATGGCTAATAAAAGTGATTCTGAGCTAACTAGAATGAGCTAAAGCTCTTGGAATGTTACTCATTACAATGCAGCTGTAATCTCTGTGGTTCACGCAGACTTTGGGGTTCTAAATTTGGATTCATTAATTTGTGACTGTGGCCTTAAACTTTAGTCATTTGTTGAGGCAGATTATTTTGGTATTGTGTAAAGTATGAATTCCCTTGGAGTAAGTAAGGTACATAGAAAATCAATGAGAATTCTTCCAGCCTACTATTGGGTGGCATTTTTAATCATGCATTTCAGCAAATTTAGGTCTAGATGATGTGGTGTAGAACCCTTACACACTGCAAATGTGTCTTTGGGCAGATACCTGATTTTCTTGTGGGTCTTGGTTTTCTTGTGAGGAAATCAGATAATCTTTAAATTCTGACTTCTCAAGGTACCACCTGCCATCCTCAGAGACTGATTATTCCCTGCAGCTTTATAAAACATCTGACTCATTCCCTAAAATAGCCCATTTATCTATGTTTCACCCTTTGCATAGCCTTGATTCTCTTTAAGAAGAAAAAAAATTCTCTGTATAAATCTGTCATTAAAATAAAACATTGAAATAGTGACTACTAAGACCTTTAAGGTATATGAGAGTACTTCAGAAAGTTTGTGGAAATTTCTTTTTAAATTCCATTTTCCATGAACTTTTGAAGTCCCCGCACAGTAAGAGATAAACTAGACCTGAAAAGAAAGCGAGTATCCATGGGGTTGTATGCCAGGCAGGTTTGACTGGGTAAGGCATACCCCTTCCTCTAAGACTGTTTTCCATGTTTAGTTGTTTCTTAGACGTGTTTTCTTCCTACTCCCTGGAATGAGCTTGTGGAGTCAAACCATTCCATTGCATCTTCAAAACTGCAGGGACCCAGCATGGAACTGATGTTTTTAATGATAATAATACCACTGATGATGATGTGGTTGGTAATAAGATTTAAAACTGAAGCCCCTGATTCTCCCTAAATTCCTTCTCTATTTTACTTTTCTCCTTGGCACTTACTGACACCTAATATATTCTACATTTTATTTATTTATTTTTATTGTTAGCATACTTTGAATATATACTTCCTGAAGCCTGAGGTTCTAACTTTTTCCCTCTTCTGCTATTACATTCCTGGTGCCCTGCTCACAACATGTGTTTACTGAGTAATTGCTGAGTGAATGTATAGATGAATGAATGATTTTTCCCCTCAGAAGTTCTTAGACTCTAAATACTAAAGGAAAATATGAGGGTACTTCAAGAAGTCCAGGAAAAATGGAATTAAAAAAGTTTATTGTGGAAACAAAAGTTCATTTTGGTGCAAAATATTTGAAATCCATGTAGTTTTTTTTTTTTTTGTAACTTACATTTCCATGAATGTTTTGAAGATTCCCCATACCCTATGTAAGTAAAAATAAGTTTTGGTCTATTTCTCACTGTATTACTCTGTAACTCAGTAAGCTAGCATGTATAATTATACATGTAAAAATATCCCTCTAAATCATGGTAAATTATTCTCACAAACTTACAAACTTGATTAAAAAAGGTTTGCTTTCACAAGCAAAGGTTCCAAACCCAGCTTCAGGGAGTCTATGAATACATTAAAATTGCAGGCAAAGTTTTGAGTTTTTGTGTATCAAATATTATTCTTGGGAAAGAGTCCATAATTTCTACCACATTCTCACTGATTTATGAGGAACAGCAACAGTAATTAGGAACTACTGCAATTTGAAAGAATGAAGTATCCCTGGAGAGAGAGATGTTGGGACATCCAGATTCCTATGAACTTCACCAGCGACTGCTGTGTCATTTTGAACAAATAACTGTTCTTCAGTCAATGGGGCTGAGACTCACAGGTTAATGAGGCTGGCAGAGAAAGGAGTGTGAGTGGGATGGTTGATAGGCACAGTGGAACAGGATGAAGACAGGTGTTTGCATAAATCCTCCTCCACCTTCACCCCCACTTAGAATAGGGAAAATGCCATAGAAAAAGCAAGGTATTATGTAAGTGCAATAATAGCTGATGCACTTGGAGAATCTGACTCACTATTAAATAGTTTTTCTAGGCTTCAGAATGACCTTTAATCCTAACACTGCAAAAAGAGGGAAGCCAAGTAACCACACCTGACAATAGACCACTCCTTTCTGTTGCCGAAGAAGCCTCTATGATTTTTGTACTAACCTTACTCTTCTATAATTGTCTATGAAACCTCACAAAGATAGGACATATAATTTCTATATAATTCCCATTTTTGATTCATACCCCCAGGGAATAGATGGCATGAGAGTTACCTTCCTTTTCTGTTTTTTTTTTTTAATAGCAAAACTTTGAGAGTTTCTAATATTTTATAATAGAAATTCAACTAAATTTCTATTTTTCAATGAAAAGAGGATTCTCATCCACACATTCACTCAAGAGCATTCATGCCTCAATCCTTGTGAAAGGTTCCATCTTTTCTAAAATCCTGTGGTCTATGAATATCTCTGTCCCAGGTGCTGACAGAGTTCTAGCTACCAACCTGTAGGAGATATATTCTGTAGCAATCACCTTGCTCAGCTCTTGCCCTTTCCTTTGTGAATGGAAAAACTAAGGCCCAAGGTAAGACAGGGAATTAACTTAACAAATCCCATTAGTTAATGACAGATCTGCTACCTCCCATCCAGTGTACATTCTGCTGCTTCACGAACCTCTATTAAAATGGCAATGCCAGGGAACAAGTCATGATTTCCCCATCTGATATCCCTCCCACAGCAGTAAGAACTAGGTGGTTTTTCCTGGCGCCTTGAATTCCAAGCAGCCAGTAGGCTTAAGTGTTTTTTTTTGGGGGGGTAGGATCAGGGAGGCTATGAAGGGAAAGAGCTGGTGCTATAAAACACTAAATCAGATAAGCAATTTAAAAAGTTTTGAACAACCTGGACAACTGACTATTCTTATCAAGCAGGGTGATTCACAGAAAGTCTTTCTCATGACTTGCTTTGGTATTTCAATGAGCACTTCTTTAATTAGAAGGTCATTAGGGCTTAACATGTGCTCTGCTAGTTGAATTGGGAGTCCAGAATTTCAGGACTAAAGGCTTTAAAAATATTTAAAGATTACTATGGTAATCATTAGGACTGCTTGTAATTTCCTCTGGTTCTCCTGTCCTTCCAGGCACATGGTATAATTGCACCTCCTCATTCTCTTTGAATTTAGCCATAACTGGTTGGGTGGTTTGTTTTACCCAATGAAATGTTTATGAGAATAACATTACTTTAAAACTGTGAATGTGAGTTTTAAATTTTTATATCATTAGCTCATTGCCTCATTTAAACTGTAATCTTCTTAGGACCCTGATTCTTCTCTTCATTTGCTACTGATATTAGATCTGAAAGTGAAGGCTTACAGACTCTTGAAAGGGCTTCATATGAGAAATAACTTTGATAGATTTAAATTTGCAAAGACATATGGAGGTATGTAAAAAAGCTAGTGGAAAATGGAATTAAAAGATAGGTTTATTTTGATATAAAAATTTGGAAATTTGGAATCCATTTTTTTTTCCTAAAAGCATTCGCCATTAAGTTTTTCAAAACCCCTCATATTGCTCTCAAAACTCTCCCCTTTTGGGGTCAGGTGATTTGTTTTCCAAGAGCCATGATGCTTGCACTTAGAATTCAAGAGGGCATCATGAGATGAGATATTAGAAAATAAGCATGGGATAGTAGAAAGAAATTCTCTATAAAAGTTTACATTCCTTTAATCTTTAATTCTGGTCTGTGGATGGTGAGGAATGATATTAAATCCATTTAGCTTCATGTTTGGGTTGTTATTAAACAGGTTTGACTCTCTCCAAGAGCAAAAAGGAATAGGACAAGCCAAACATCAACATGTGTGTGCGTATATGTGTGTATGTATGCTTGTTTAATAAACTTGAAAAGACTGAACTACAGCACCAGCTGTCACACTGATACCTACTTGGTAGGGCTGCAGGTGTGCAAAGCCTTCAAGTGTGGCTTCCAGGTTGCAATGGAAACAGATTTCTCGTCAGCTGCATAGCTACGCCAAACACACTGCACGTGGCATGCATGGGCACATGAAAAAGAAAAGAGCAGGAGACAGAATGAAATGAAGGAGGAGATTATTAAGTTACCACACATTAAGAATCTTTTCTTTGTCATACTTAGCCCTGATAAATGTCCAAAGGAGGGAGACTACTTTGGTATTTTCAGCTGGCTGTTAAACATATTCTGCCACAATCAAAATCAAACAGACTTGCCTTTCCAAGTATCAAGAAATATACTGTAATGCAATTTTTGAATTGGTTAGGGAAAGATACTGTATTATTTGGAACAAGATACTATATTAACTGTTATAACCTACATGAGCATAAACAGAAATTTTAGTTATTGATCTTTACTAAAAAGTTGATAAGATAGAGGCAAAGGACTACTGAAAACTCACCATGCAACTAGTAAACTAACTAGTAAGCTAAAGACCTCCAGGCTATGTTAATGATTAATTAGTGAATCCCTGAAGTTGAACTATGCAATAACTGTAATGCTGAAAATGAAGAAAGAGATAACAAGAAACAGAGCTAAATAATAAAGGGGAAAATGTGTTCTTTAGGAATATAACTGGAAAGCACCTAAAGAATTAATGCCATGATCTAAGAATCTGTTTATAGTTCTCTGATGTAAAACATAAGCTCTGTCTACTTCATATAATTATACCTGACATACATAATACAAAGGGTTTTCATGTGATCCTCACTAAGTGTGGATTAAGACCCATATTTTGTAGATGAGAAAATAAATACTCAGATAAATAAAGAGGTTTATACAGAGTTGGCAGAGTTGAGATAATATCTCAAATTGCTTGGCTCTTGGTCATGGAATCTATCCACTGGGCTTTTCGCTGATGCTTGATGACTGTCTGAAAAGCTTCCATCTGAACTATTCATTTGAGAAAAAGCCTGAACTCACTTTCACTATAGCTCACTATAGCTTTTGATAATTTTTTTCCTTTGTAATGAATCTGCAAACATTTCTAATAACCAACTGTTTAATCCAATATCCTCAGAGAAATTATCTTATTATAATTAATCACTCACAGCAGCCTAGTTTATGTGGTAAGTACATTTAAATGGATCATATCTCTGCTTTATAAGCATCAGTAATGATTTCAAAGCTTACAACGAAGAAAAAAGTGATCTAATTATATTTTCCTTCCTGAGAATACACTGAATACATGTATGCTGAATAAAAGGGTTAAAAACTGATAAACTACTTTGGAAAACTGCCTGGCAGTATCTATTAAAGATGATCATATACATATCCTATGATACAACCACGCATTTCTAGGTATATATTCGACAGACATGCTTACATGTGTTTGCCAAAAGATATGAATCATGTTTTTATTTCTTAATAAACTGGAGCCAGAAATGCTCAGACACCTATCAACAGTAAGAATAGATATAAAACTTGTGGTATATTCATGTAATGGAATACAACATGGTAATGGCACATTATAATTATGCTCAACAATATGAATGGAGTTTCTATGAATATATTGAGTGAATGAAATAAGACACAAAACATATCCATAAAGTGGAAAACCATAGAACACTAATTTAAGCTGTTAGAAGGTAGCATGGTGGTTACCCTTGTGGGACAGTGATTAAGAAAGGGTACATCAGAAATCATTCTTGGTTTAGATGAGTGCTGGTTATACAGAAGTGCTCAGTTCTCTTTTGCATGCACATTATATGTTCATGAAGTGACAAAAGCAACAAGAAAAATGTATAGTAGAACCTGAGGGATTTTTAAAAGATATTTTTAAGGAAGGCTTAAATGCCTGGAGGCTTGCTCACATGGTTGATGTTAATTTAATCTATAAATCTGGAACTCTGTTTTAGGCATCTTGACATCTTAAAGATAATAAAGCATATCATCTTGAAATGTCAGTTTTTACAAATACCTATAATTTATAGAGTGATCGATAGAATAATTAATGAAAGCACATGGATTTATCACTGTAACTTCTGCAGTAGAGAGATGCAGAGATTCTACAATGAATGTGAGGACATACATGATTGCTTTAATGAAACAATTTTTCATAGACAGCATCACACACATGTGAGCTCTGACACTTTGAAAGCAAGACTCATATAGAATGAGAGGCATACAACAAGTCTGTAAGTTATTAGACACCTGTGGAAGAAATCAAAAACAACAAAAAATGGGACTCAGGCATTATCTGTTAATACTACAAAGAACTGGGGACAAAAGAGGCCATTGTGATAAAACCGAGGATTTTCTTTATAATGAAACCTGGCTTCCTGATCTTTTTTTCTTTCTTTCTTTTTTTTATCAGACTGATTAAACAGTTAAACTCTCATTTCCTTCATTACTGTTCCCCTACAGTGGTCTTGTAGGAGGGGTAACTGGCTCTATGGCAGGCCGGACATCAGTTAATAGTAAAAATGGAAGGTGCAATGTCACTACTCTTATAATACTGTAATAACTGTCCTGTCCTAGTTCTCTCTCAGGCTGTCTCTTCCTCAGCTAACTGTTTCCAGTAGATGAATTTCAAGCCTACAAGTGATCTGGTAGCTGATGTTCCTGCATATAAAGTCAAAATGATACAGTGGTTGGCAATAGAAACATGAGGTCCCAGAGGAATTTCCTGTTACCAAATGGCATATAGACTCTATCTGATATTTCCTGTAATTACAAGGATATATATTGTAAGGGACAGTTCAGCAAGAAGCAAAATTAAAACCGAGTTTAACATTTATCAGGCAATAGGCAGTCAAGCCAATTTGAATGTGTATAATTGTAGTATCAACACAATTCAGTTTCTAGCAAGTATTTGATTTGTGTTGGCTGGATATTGTAACTATGATGTGTTTGACACTTTTTGCAAAGGGTCCAGAAAGTTTCAGCTGACCATTGAACTAATTAACAGGGAACTTATTTTTTCAAAGTACATGGCTTTATTTTCTTTCTTGCTTGCTTTCTTTCTAAGATTTTTATTTATTTATTTGAGAGGTAGAGTTACAGAGAGAGGGAGAGACAGAGAGAAAGGTCTTCCATCTGCTGGTTCACTCCCCAAATGGCTGCAACAGAGGCAGCTGAGCCTATCAGGAGCCAGGAGCTCCTTCTGGGTCTTCCACACTAGTGCAGGGGCCCAAACACTTGGGCGATCTACTGCTGTTTTCCCTGGCCATTAGCAGGGAGCTGGATTGGAAGTGGCACAGCCAAGATACGAACCTGTGACCATACGGGATTCTGACACTGCAGGCGGAGGCTTAGCCCACTATGCCACAGCGCTGGCCCAAAGTACCTGGTTTTAAATGTTAGACTCCTGAAAGACTTAGGATCTAAATCAGAAAGCCCATTCCCTATCACTATTCACACTAATGTTTGTTCCTTAGTGACAACTGCTACGATTCTTATAGTTGTTGGTCCTGTTTTTAATAATTCTTGTATTTAAGGATTACACTTAATACTTGTATGAAGAAACTTCAAACAGTTCATGGAAAATGGAATTAAAGGTTAAATTTATTTTGGTGCAAAAAGTTCATAAAGTCCACATGATACACATTTTCCTTAGATTTTGCAAAAGATCCCTGGTATTTCTTAATTTTTTAATTGTACGCTTTACCAACTTACTTTCTACTGTGAAAGAAAATGACAAGGCACACTTACATGCCCTTTTGTCCTCCTTTATCACAATTTTAGATACATTACTATTGTTAGCATTATTATAAATATGTGATTAGTGTTTCCAGTTCAGCAATGTGATATATTACAAATACTTTTTCTTTCCTGAAAATTTTTTCATTTTTCTTGAAGCCATTATTGATTCATTTTAATTTCTTGATTTGCACTTATGTACCTATTACGAATGTATCCTTCTCAAATATATGATGAAACTTGTCAATTCCATTCTTTCATTTTCTTCGAAGATCTTTCTCCCAGAGCTCAAAACCTCCTACTTCTGTTCTCAAGGCCTGTGGTAGCTGTTGCCCTTTCCTGTGGGAACTCTTGTTTTCTGGATCTGATATTTTTCAATTTATTGGTTTATCACCTTGTTTTGGAAGAGCAATAATATCCAGGTAAGTTCTTTTTTTTTTCTTTTCTTTTTTTTTTTTGACAGGCAGAGTGAGACAGTAAGAGAAAGAGAGAGACAGAGAGAAAGGTCTTCCTTTTACCGTTGGTTCACCCACCAAGTGGCCGCTATGGCCAGCGCACTGCGGCCGGCCCACCACACTGATCCGAAGCCAGGAGCCAGGTGTTTCCTCCTGGTCTCCCATGCGGATGCAGGGCCCCAGGACCTGGGCCATCCTCCATTGCACTCCCGGGCCACAGCAGAGAGCTGGACTGGAAAAGGAGCAACCGAGACAGAATCCGGCGCCCCGACCGGGACTAGAACCTGGGGTGCTGGTGCCGCAGACAGAGGATTAGCCTAGTGAGCCATGGCACTGGCCCAGGGAAATTCTTGTAAGGGCACTTGGTAAGTAAATTTTTGAGATCTTGCACATCTAAAAGCATGAATGGCTTGGTTGGGAGTAGAATTCTGGTCTGGAAACAATTTTCCTCCATAATTTTGAATGTTTTGTATCACTGTCTTCTAATTTGAAAGTTACAAATGAGAAATACAATATCAATCTGATTATTAAAAATTTTTTATTGGCTGGTGCCGTGGCTCAATAGGCTAATCCTCTGCCTGCAGCACCGGCACCCCGGGTTCTAGTCCCGGTCGGGGTGCCGGATTCTGTCCCAGTTGCCCCTCTTCCAGGCCAGCTCTCTGCTGTGGCCCGGGAGTGTAGTGGAGCATGGACTAAGTCCTTGGGCCCTGCACTCGCATGGGAGATCAGGAGAAGCACCTGGCTCCTGGCTTCCAATCAACGCATTGTGCCGGCCGCAGCGGCCATTGTGGGGTGAACCAACGGAAAAAAGGAAGACCTTTCTCTCTGTCTCTCTCTCTCGCTGTCCACTCTGCCTGTGAAAAAAAATTTTTTTTTTTATAAAATTTATCAGCCATATAAAGTCGTACATAATTG